TAGTTCAAAGAATTTGGTGGGTTTATAATGGGGTAGAAACACAGATGAGTGTTAAGAAATATTACCCCACCACCCTGACATTATGTAGATAAGTTCTTCACTCCATCACTTCATTACAAGTGGGTGCCATATACAATCTTGGTAGCCATCTCTCTAAGGAGAAGGTGACAGCATAACCTTAATAGAACTGAAAATGGACCTAGGAAAATAAAGGAAGCCAAAAACTATATAACAAGGAGGCATACCTGGGAACATTCCCCATATATGTGGAATAAGCTTGCTGTGTGAGCACAAGAGGTCCAAATTTATGATTTTGACAGAACCTACATCTTGACATCTGAGGCTAACCTGTTTCAGTTACTACAAAATTTGCAAATTTAAGTCATCCTAAGCTGGTACACTCTGACTGGTGGCCAACATCAGGTCCAAAGTCCAGACCTCCCAGTGACTTGAGTACAGAAAACTGTTAATGCTTTGGAAGTGTTTCAAATCTTTCAGGCCATTTGGAGATCATCTGGCATTCTAAGAAAGGTAATTCACTAAAACAAATTGTAATAGTATGAAATAGCTAATGCAACCCTCCAAGGCAGTTGTTTAATTCTTATTCCCTCACAGGCTCAGGGCACCACAGTTGGCATTCATCTCTTCCCACCAGTTCTCACATTGCTCTGAGTGCTAGTCTGTTAGAACACTTGGACCAATCTGCCTTGTGTTAAAGTTGTTTGGCACTAAAGTGAAACAAGACTGTGTCATAAGGGCATCATAGGAAGCAGGCTGAGCTGGGGGTCCAGGTGGGCCCAATGCCCCTGTAGGGGCTAGTGGGACAAGAAAGAACTTCCAAGTCTAGGCAGGAAGAACAAGAAAGAGAAGTCAGACACTGATTAATGTTCCAACTCTCCAGCTGATGTTGGGTTTTCAGAGAGATGATGGTTTGGCTGAGGTTGAATTAAGAAAGAATTGGTAGGAGTTTCAAGACTCATGGCACACAGTGGAATCCCCAAAGGCTGGGAATCTAACAGAACACATCTCAGGGCTTATCATGTTCCTTATAGAAAACCATGAAGAGGTTTCTATATCGTAGACATTTAGTTCTGATACTTTGGGGAAGTTCCCCCAAAATGTTTCTGGATTAATTTAAGGCAAGTTCCCAATCTTATTGCTGTTTACATTTTGGATCTAAAATTTCTTTGTTGTTGAAGGCTGATCTAAGCCCTGTAAATTGGTAAGAGGATCCCGGGCTTCTGCTCACTGGATGCCAATAGCATCTCCCTGCTGAGCTGGGCAACTGCTCTTCCCTCCTCCTGGGAGCCCTTGAGACCCAAGTGAGGTTGAGGACTCTGGGGGACTGTAACTGTGAAAGCCAAAGGTCTATGGGCAGGAGTGCACCTCCTTTTTTATACTTTACATCTGGGGGATAAAGCAAATTGTGGTACCCCTGTGTTTTTCAGAAGGGAGAATTCTAAAGGAATTCTGCAGAGCCGTAACTTCTATTCTGTTCAAGGAATACTGCAGAGTCCAGTAATTCATCTTCCCTCCTTGATCTAGAATCAAATTTGAACCAGTTGGGTCTGCCCAGCAGGGCAACTCTCAGTGACAGATGCCAGCTTGTTCTTCTAATTCCCTTTCCCTCTGGAGCTCTTGTACTGGACCAAGTGCTTTCTGTTATTCCCCCTCTTCTACGTCTCAAGAAACCTTGATTCTCAGGTCTTAGGGGATTGCAGACAGGAAGAGAAGTTCCTTGAGAGAAACCTTTTTCTGGCACCTGTGGACACATTTTCGTTGACTGATAGAATAGGTCAACGTACAATTCAGCAAAAGTTGGGGAAGGGCAGGGTTTGACATACCCAGAGGCACCCTGTGCATGGTGCCTGCACGAGAGTGTGTGTGCAATAAGCCTTGAAGACATTGCAGTCTCTCACTGGTCAGTCCCAGAGTGTGGGGTCAACCATCTCTGGGGGCTTTTGATTGAAGGAACTCCTGTCCCCCATTAATGGAGCTGTTTGGAGTGGCAGCCTATCACAAAAAGACTTCAGTTAGCCTGCTAGTATCCAGGTGGGCTGGTGGGGTGCACCACATGGATGGGAAGAGAAACAGGGTTGGCTGCTGGTCTGCCCAGGGAGATGCTTCTCCAGGTGGTTCAGGCTCCCGCTCAAGCCCCTTACCAAATGGGCACCCGAGCCCCAGTGAGACGTGTGCCTTTGAAACAAGGGTCACACTGAACTTGCTTGGGGAGGATAGCTCTCTTGCCAGTATACCAGCAAAGTAAGTACCTCGGCTTAAACTCCCTACTTTGCAGAATTTTATTTACAGCAAAATGTTGAGTTACCCATGAACATCTTGCTTGCTAAGTCTCGGCCCTGCTCCTAGAGTAGGCTGTGGTTCCAGCGTAGGGAACCCTCTTCTGCCCTCCCTTCTGAATGCTGGCAAGCTATGTCCCATCCTCTCCTCGGTGGCCGCTGTGTGTTACGGGAGGCGAGTGTGGACTCAGCCATGGTCTCTCCTAGCGCGGGGCAGCTCCTGCATGAGGCCTGATGGGCCTCTGGTGGAGGGCTTGGCCTCAGCGAGAAGGACCTGTGGGAAGTCTGGGGCTTGCTGCCGGGCACAGCCTGCTGGGTGAGGATCTTCCCCATTCTAAAGGCTGAGAAGTCTAATGGGGTCACCCACGCTGTCCTTGCACTGCCAGGTCTCTGTGGCAGAAGGGAGGGCTTGGAGGGGATTCAGTTGAAGGGCAAGTCCTGCCTGTGTGTCACCAGGACTCCAGAAGCAGAGGTCCAGGCCACAGGCTGCTGCGGCCGCCAGCCTGCGCTCCAGGGAGTGGCCAGCAGGGCTGTGTTGTCACCCATGCAGAGGCAAAGGGATGGGCAGCACGGCAGTGTGGGCACTGGGAAGGCGAGGGGGACAGGCCACATGTGCGTTTCTCTTGATGTGGCAGGAGGAAGCACTGAAGGAACCAGACAGCCCCGTCCGCTGCTGAGCTGAGCAGTCCCAGGGCGAACCCCAGGACCTGAAGGAAAAGGGACATTTTTGGTGCTGGTGGGGTTGGAGGATAGTAAACTAGAGCAGGAGAAATATTGGATTCCAATGAGAAGGATGCCCTCTGGCCTGTCCTCTGTCAACAAGAGGCAGAGCCAGATCCCTGTATACTGTGGGCTCCTCTGCTGGGGACCCCTCAGCCCCCATGTGTCACCTGGCAGAGCCTCCGTGGGATTCCAACACCTCTCTTGCTGGGACTTATCTGAGGGTTCAAGGTGTAACATTATGGATAAAGGCCCATAGCGCAGTGCCTGACATCAAGAAAGTGCTTAGTATAAGTAGCAGTTAGCAATATTTATTCTATGATTTTCATAACAAACAGCTTCTGAATCATAACAAGGAGACAAACAGTTCTTTATCTCCCTCCATTCCTACCTGACAGTAGACAGGCAGCAGCCCCCCTGCCGACAGGTGCTGCTTTATGTCCCATAGCCTGTTTAAGCCTCTCACGGACTCAACAGGGAGAGAAGGCGCTTAGCTGACCTTCAGACCAGACAGAGAGGGGCGGCCCCGGCCACCTCTGCCCCCAGCCGCCAGCACACACTCCTGGGGCTGGCGCCCATCCCAGAAGCACCGTGCCTCCGGAGACAAGCAGTTGCCTTTGACCTGTATCCTCCACGGCCCTTTTGCAGAGAATGAATAACTGGGAGACAGAGAAAAGGAGGCCTCTTCACCTGGAAACAATGAGCAGCGCGCAGGTGGGTGGGTGACATCACCTTATTTGCCAAGATGATTTCCTTGGGCAAACTGGTAAGAGAAGTTCGCTTTTGCAAAAAGTCAATTCCTTGTATTTGAGGAAGTGAACCGCAAACACTCTTTGCCATCCAGTAGAAGCCTGCACAGCGCCAGCCGTCCTGGGGAAGGGCTGGGTGAACCAGTAACGCCGACGACACAGGCGTTCCCGCTGCGCAGGATGGTCCGCCCGCGACCCCCGAGAGACAAGGGTTAAATATTCAGGAATTCTCTGAGCTGGGAGCTTGAGATCAGCCAAGCTGGGAATATTTACCCCAAGGAAATCAGCGAACGCCAGGAATCAGACCCTCTCCCGGCTTCCTTTCTCAGAGAGCTGTTTACCAGACAATTAACGTCTACGAACCCAAGTTTTAAGCAGCAGTTTTGAATGGGCTGCGTCTTCCCTGTGCCCACGGAGAAGGCAGCCTTGCCCTGTGCGGCACCTGAGCTCAGGGACCCCGCAGCCTGGATGAGCTGCAGATGGCCGTCTACCCCACAGATCCTTGGTTGGTGGGGGATGGCGAGGGCTTTTGGATCATGGAGTCACATTCTCAGGGCACCCGCCGTCCACTCACCACCTCTCCTCCTTCTTCTGCTCTTCCGACTCCATCAGCCCCAGGGAGCGGCAGCCCCCAGCATGGGCCCCTTACCTGGCTCCGTGGCTGCAGTGGCCCGTGGACCACCTCCCTGGGCCAGGAACCTGGCCTCGAGCCCTCCTTTGCATCCCCCTGGAAACTGCATGTGGCATCTGCCTGGGACTCAGAACATCTCTTTTGGATTTTTAATACCAGATAATTGCAGGCACCAGGCAGAGATGGGAGGAGGGTGGCAGGTGGCAATGAGGCCTTGTGCCTGTTCCCCATCTGCCGGCCACTCCAGCTGTGGTCCTGCCCTGGGCTGCCCCCTGGCAACCTGAGATCCATAGGCCAGCTGTAGAAGGAGAAGGAAGGCCCAAAGGGCAGAAGCAGAAATGTACACAGTGAAGAGGGCAGAGCTGGTGGTCCAGGTGCTGCACTGGCCACCTCCAGGGGCAGCTGGGCCCTCCAAGCCCTGGGAAGAGGGTGACATTTCTGCCTGGTGGTGTCTGTTCCCATGTGGAAGGAAAGCCAGGCAGGGCAGCCCAGCTCCAGCTCCCTGGGTGACGTCACGAAATGATGCAGCTATTTTTTGTGGACTTTTTATTCCCTCTGCTGAGATAAAGAGAGGTTTGACAGTGAGAAGCCGAGTTCACTGGTGCACGACCTCAAAGTAGGTGTGGAAATGGGGACACAGCACTGGCCTGGCTGAGGTCAGAGCAGCCGGCCGTGGCACAGTGCGGGGCCTCCTGCGCAGTGAAGCACAGGTGAGCTTCATCTGGTCTTCCAGCCAGTAGGTCCCTGGGTGATGGAGACCCTGCTGAGTGGAGGGTCTCGGGAGATGCCTGCCAGTGGGTGCTCTGGCTGGGCCCCTTGGGGGGGCCCCTGTCACTGTGGGCCACCAGGCACTGTGCGTGGGGTGCCCTGCTCTTGCAGTGATTTTTGCTTTCATGGCCAGTACCTCCTCTGGGGTCTGCCCTGGGGCTGCTCTTGGGCCTCTGGCTTCTCCAGAAGATGGGGTGCTCCAGGCCTCGGGGATGGGCCTCCTTGGGAAGGTAGGGTGGTACAGGTAGGAGACACTAAGGATGACACCTGTATAGGGAAGCTGCCTCCAAACCAGCAACAGAGGTCAGTAAAGGCAATGAAAGAAAGAGCCACAGCCACGAGAGAGGGTGAGGGGTCCATGGCGTTCAGCAGGTGAGGGCGGCCTCCCGAGGAAGGGAATGTAGGACCTATGCTGAGCAGGAGCTCGCCGGGCAGACCGGTCACACACAGCACAGGGTGCCTGGGCTTGGGCAGGGGGCACAAGGCTACAGTGCCCTGGGGTTGGGGGTTGGCCCCAGGATGTCAGGGGTGAGGCAAGCTGCCTCCCATCATCCTGGTGCCATCTGCAGCCCAGGTGCCAGGTCCAGCCTGCTGCTGGGTTTTGTGAATAAAGCTTTATTGGGACAGGGGCACATCCATTCGTTCTACATTGTGTGTGGCTCTTCCCATGCTTCAATACTGGAGCTGACCAGTCCTGATGGAGAGAGAGCTCAAGGCTCCTGAAGCCTGGGATACATCTGGCCCTTTACAGGAGAGATTCCCACCCTTAATATGGCTTGTATTTCCTTCCAGAATTCTATGGCATGGTCTCTGACTCCAGTGTTCTTGTTCCTACCCTTGTCAGGAAAGTCCCCTGGCATGAGTGCCCACGGGGCAAAGTACCTATGGAGGCCCGCCTTTTCCCTGAAGTCACAGAAAGGCCAAGGATCCTGTGGCCATGTGATGGAAAAGATTAAAAGATAATTTAAGATCAAAAGTCCCTGTCACATTGGAGAGGCCCTTGCAGGTCACCTGGCCACTCTCTTGGTGGCAGGGGAAGTGACGGGGGTGGGCTGCGGGCTCCCAGCTGCTGGGGGCTGGTATGGGGGGAACCTGGGGGTGCTTTTGCACCAGGCTGGTCTCCCTGATCCTGGGTGTGGTGGGCAATCCCAGGGGGCTGCCAAAGTGTGACGTGAAAACACAGTGGGGCTTTGCTGACACTGGTTTTGGTCCTGTGCAGTTTTCGTACATCATTAAAGGCAGACGTGTTAATCATGTGGAAGGTAGAGAGTTAGAAAAACAGGAAAATACAAAAGACCAAATGTCACTCTGTTTTCCTGCTCCTCAATGTATGGTCCATAGGCTAGCCCCAGCAGAGCCTTGAGCTGGCTGGAAAAGCAGGCCCTCTGTGCCCCCGGGCTCCTGGGTCAGATCTGCACTTAACACCTTCCCAAGTGAGGCTGAGGGGTGCAGCCTGCAGAACTCACCTCTCTGCTGGTCCTGCAGCTTAAGGGCATCTTCAAACCACCTGGGGAGGTTTTAACACCTGAAGCCCAGTCCTGCTGGAGGTCTTTATGCCACTCTTGAGGTGAGGACTGCGCCTGAGGCCTGAAGTGTCATGGAGGGAGAGGGTCCCCACATGCAATGAGGGTCCCCATGCGGAGTGAGGGCCCTGGGGTGAGTGAGGGTCTCCACGTGGAGTGAGGGCTGTGGGGTGAGTGAGGGTCTCCATGTGGAGTAAGGGCCATGGGGTGAGTGAGGGTCCCCACATGGAGTGAGGGCCGTGGGGTGAGTGAGGGTCCCCGCGCAGAGTGAGGGCCATGGGGCGTGAGGGCTGCATCTGTTCTGGTCCAGTTCTGCTCTGCATTTCACAGCCAAGAACCCATGCCATGCGGCACCTGTGGAGTCATCGAGGAATTTACTCTGCTTAAGACTCACGCTACTTAAAACCCACTGTTTGTTCCCCTGCCCGGGAGGGTGAAGGATCCATTCCTCCCGGGCTCCTTGCCCTGCTGGTGTGGCTTCTGGCAGGTGGGATGAGGAATCTGGCAGAGCCACCCAATGTGGAGAGGGGACGTCATGGGCCTCCCAGGGGCTCCAGTGGTCAGGGCCACATTTGACATGTGCCCATGAGCCCTCTGTAGATGGAGCACTACTGCTAGCAAGGTCCTGCAGCACCCTCAGGCCTTGGGCGGTTGTGACGGGCAAGCCCCTGAGGCCGGGGACCACCTGATCCCTTGCAGACCTAGCCAGTCTTATCATGGGCCTTGCCAGACATGGGGGGTGGCAACCCCATGTAACTAGAGTTGTCCAAGGCCCGTCTGGCTGTGGCCCCCAAGCCGGGCAGGCCTGGCCCCACCTCTGTTCTCTCCTAGCTCCTATTCAGATGGGACTTAGTCACTCACCCTCGGCCTTGGCCAGTGGGAAGCCCTCTGGTATTCAGGCTCCCCATCGCTCCTGGGTCCTGCTGACACCTCTCCCCACCACTTTCCTGGGCTGCTGCACCCTTCCCAATGCCCACAGGGGGAAGGGCAGGGCGGCTGGGAGAATGGGAGCTGGGGCTGCCCAGGGTCCCCCAGGCCTGACACTGGGGATGACAGACAGCCGAGATTTGCTGGCAGGCATGCAGTCCTGTAGGGCCTCTGCTAAACAGACCCTTGGCAGCCACCAAGGGGAAGAACTCAAAATGCATCCCAGAGCAAACCCTGGGAGTCAAAGGTCCCCACAGGGGATGCCCTCGGCTCTGGAGGGCAGCCCTCAGGCCACAGCCCTCAGTCCCCTGCCCCTCTGGCCCCAGGGCTGGAGCCCCTGGTACCTCGGAGCCAGGACACAGGAGTCAGCAGGGCTCAGATAGTTTGAGACAAATAGCATTAGAGTGAATCTGAGCCCTTGGTTTAAGACAAAGATGGATGCATTTTGAGGTGCTCTGATTTTAGGTGATGAATTGTTCTTTCCTGTCAGTACTTTGTCGCACTCATTAATTTTTTTCATGAGCATGTACTGTTAGGTAAAACAATAGAGTTTTTAAAAACAGCAAAATCCAATGTTAACTGCATTGGTCAAATGCATGCCTTCCAGCAGAGAATGTACATGGCTCCCTCCATCCCCCACTTCCCCTCCTGCCTCAGTTTCCTCTGAGGGGACTCAGCAACCCCTTGCTTAGCCACTGTAAGGATTAGAAATATGCACACATAGCTAGGAGCTCAGTGCAGGCCTGGGTGCAGCCTAGGAAGTGTTTGTACACATAGCACAGGAGAGAGCTGCCAGCATGCTCTGTGTGCAGGTTTGGGGGGCAGAGTGCGGGCTGTGGAAGCAGGCACCTCCCCTGTGCAGGAAGCAGTGTTCTCCCAGCCTGCCTCCCTGGCCCCCTTGTCTGCTCTGCCCGGGTCCTGGGGCTGCAGAGTGAGGGCTGGAAGGGGTGGCTGTGGTGCACGGGCAGCCGTGGGAGAGGAGGAGGTGGCAGGCCCAGAAGCCTGGAGCGTGCCGACCCACCTGGTGTGCTTGCAGAAGTTCACAGGGACTGGGCTCATCCTAGCATCCCTCTTGATTGCTCCCATAAAAGAACCCCTGGACCTTGGAAAAGGGCAACTCCCTGCTGACAAAATCTCTGTAACATGGAAACTTCCTGAGTAGAGAGCACCTTGTGAGCAGGTGAACCTGGCAGGCAGTGCTTCTGGGGTGGGATGGCTGGAATGTTTTCTCTCTAACAGAACGAGCTCATTCCTTAGAGGCGGCTTCATGGATACCAGAAACACTGGTGCCTGCTGTCACACAGAAGTGTTGGATTTCCTGGGAAGGAGATGAAATGTTATCGACATGAAGGGGTGGGTGGACCTCCCTCCCAGCAGAAGAGCTCACCAAGCCTTGCTGGGGCAGCATGCCTGCAGCCCATAGCTGGCCCAGCCCAGGCTCTCCCTGACCCTTGCTGGCTGTCATATCAGCTGGAGCCTGCCTCTTTCCATGGCACCTGCATCTTTGAACCAATCGACCCTACACTTCCCATCTTTCTGGAGCCACCTCCTGCCATACCTCTTCTTGCTTCCAGCCAGAAGGCATGCTTGACCTTCAGGGCGCATGGGATTAATGGGGGCCCACCTGGATAGTCCAGGACACCCTCTGAGTTTGTAACCTTAGTCACACCTGTGGAGTCCTTTTGGCCATGCAATGCAACACAATGACAGGTTCCAGCCTTAGGGTGCAGGCGTCTTTGGGGCCTTTGTGACTATCACCCCAGCCCCGAGTCTGGGGCAGGGACCTGAGTGCCTGGTAGGCAGCCCCATGGACTATGGCATTTCCCACACCATTCTCCGCTGCCCTGCTGACTTCCATAAGTAGCAGCTTCTACAGCAAGGAGCAGCAGGGTCTGCAGATTTGGCTGAGGGAATGTGACAAAGAGAATAGGCTCACTTTCCTAAAAAACCAACAGAACTGAGGGACTTACGCTGAGCAAACCATGAAACTGTGGCTGCATTCATAGCATTCCTGTTTCTTTAAAGCTCAAGATGCTTTTAAATGACCTGCTTTTTTCTTTAAAAAGGCAGTTCTAGATCTCTGCGAGGAGCCTGTAAGTGGGCATTCTATGTTAGAGGGAGAAGGCACTCACTGCATTTATAGTGATAAGATTCACTTAAAAGGCATAACCCACAATAAAATGTGGTCAAACTGTTGCAGGGAGTCGTGGTGACGTCCGAGGTGAGGGAAGCAGAAGCCGTGGTTTTGTGCTGGTTTTGTGATGAGTCACAGAATTTCTCCCAACAGCTCTGCAGTTGGTTGCCTTTTGCCACTGGGCAGCTCAGAAGCTTACACGGCCATGGTTTCATGTCTGCTCTTCGGTGGTCCTTGGTCTCTGGTTCCACCAGCCACAGTCCAGTCATTCTGGGAGGTGATGAGGCGCAGATCCCCGTTGCTGTGTAATAAACCACCCCAAATGCAGTGAATTGAAGCTGCCGTTCTCCCACACAGC